ATGGCCAGATTAGATACAGATAATGATAATTTACTTAAACACATTTTTGGCTTGCCAAACCATGATATGATTTATGACCACGGTCGTATCTACTATAATAGTCATATCGTATATTCTACATGTATGACATTACTTAGCCAAAGGTGACCCCTAACAGATATTCGTGTCACCACTCTTGTTAGAGGGTACGCCGTCATTCACAAGGAGCGGTCTTCTTACGTCTTTCTAGACCAAATTGGGGAGGAGAAAAACACACTCCAGATAGGGATAGAGGAACATATACCCTTTAGAGATAAAAAGTCTAACGAAACATTTGATGCATTATGCATGTTAATACAGATACATGCTTCATTTCATTTTTTTTTATTGTTTTCTAGATAACTTTACTAGTTTCACATTATTTTATTTATATGCAAATCATCAAGTGTCTATAAATCATATGACATGCTTGAAAATAAGAACAATTCAACTTATCATATCTACCAGACAGAGAATATGCAAACAAGCAAAATTACAAAATTATTAATTTAATTTTTGTCTAAAAATACTTATTAAAATGTTTAAGGAAATACTAAATTCCTTACCGACACCTTGATAATTTCTTATATACCATTTTTTTCTCTTTTTTTCTTTCTCTTTCTCTCTCTCTCTCTCTCTAACTCTTGAAAGGTGAAAGAATGGAAGTGAGAAAAATAGGAAGAAGGGGCCCCTTTTTTTATAGAAAATGGGAGCCATTAGATTTGCGGCAAGTGATGAAATCCGGTGAAGAGAGAGAGTGTTAAAAAATAGAAGATGCTTAATTTAACGCAACACAAAAAACAGAAAAAAAAAACCTCCTCCACCAGTAGCGACACCTCAAGTGGTGGCATGCCGCCCAAGGTGGGCAGCGACACATTGCTCGAGACAACAGTGAGCTTCATTCGCCCGACTGCAGGCCTAACTTGTAGGCACCGGGCTACCCTGTCGCATGCTGCAGGCACTGGGCTACCCTGTCGCGTGTTGCAGGCTAGTTACCCTGCCGCACGCAGGCTAGTTACCTTGTCGCACGTAGGCCTAATACGTACAGGCTCCAAGTGCACAGGCCTATCAGCACAGGCTTGTTGAGCAAACGGCGCGCGCAAAGTGTGCGATGCCTACCTGTCGGCGCGCGACAAGACGCACACAAGTTTGGCCTCCACGTTATGCGCGGATGGGACATGCGCACTGTGCACACGTCCTGTGCCTGTTGCGCCCGCGGGTAGCCCATTTCTTGCGGGATTTTTCCTCTGTTTTTTCGTTTCTCCCAAAAATCGTTTATTTAAAAAAAAAAACGATCTAATAATTAAATCAAAATAAAATTAATATAATTTACGAATTACGAAGTATGATAATAACCTATTGAATGAAATTAATATTTTCGTGTGGATTTAAGGTCCGAATAAATAGAATTTTCTAAATACAATTAAACATAGCGGTGAGCAGGGTGTTACATTATGCTTCTTTGCATACGATACCAAGGAAAACAAAAACTGAATGACTTGTTTTGTTTCATGTCCATAAATTGAGACAGGAAAAATTGTTCACCAAATTTGATAATTTTCTTTGGTATTTTTGAATCAATTTTTGAAAATTATTCTCTAATTTCTTAGTGTGATCATGAAGGGTTGTAATGTATTCAGAATATATAGTGAAAAATATAAAATAATTAAATTTGATATATTTATGCTTCAAAATTTATATTGTATATTAAAGACTAAATTTAAAATATACTTGATAGCGAGTCTTTAAATTAAAATTTTTTGAAAATATAAAAATTTTATAGTATTCACACTGAAACTGATATTTGCTAATAAACAATTTGATCAATAAAACACACAAATAAATTAAATAATATTTGTGTTAAAATTTTTCCATAAAATTTTAACAAATTAAAAGAAAAAACTTCCCTCAATTTTATTTTATTTTTTTAGTGTCGGGTTGCTTTTTTTTTTCATAGTACCTACGACTGCTTTTCTACCAACACCTGCGACTGTTTTTTTTTCCAACATCTACCGCTACCTTTTTCCAGCACCTACGACTGCCCTTTTTTACAGCACCTCTATTATATATATGTGCGACTGCCTTTTTCATTTTGCATCCCAATTATTTATATATATATATATATCTATATCTATATCTCATAAATATATGTATGTTGGCAACACAAAAAACCTAATTGCCAAGTCCCTTTTCCTTTTTGACTTCTACCGACTTTGTTCTTTTTTTATTAATAAAATATTTTATAAATCAATTAAATTCTAAATCCAATGACAATAGTTACACATATTATACTATTATACTAATAATATAATAACTAAAAAATATAAATATTAATTTTTTATTTTTAAAATAAAAAATTTAATTTATTTATAATATTAATTATATCTTTTATGCTGGTAAAGAATATAATAATATTATATTTAAATAAATATTTTTATTTATTTAACTAAATTAAAAATTTTAATTTAATTATTAAATAATTAATTTATTTTAATAAAAATCAGAACATTCGTTAGTGTACGATCTCATAAGTTTAATATTAAATTGGTAGTAAATTTGTCAAACTAATTTATTAATTAAATTTGACATCTAACAACACTTTTTAACGATCAGATAATATGAAATGTATAATTACTCTCAAGAATCTGTTAAAGAATAATGTAATATTTCTTTCCATCATTATTGTTCTGGGTTAACCTTATGATCTGCTTTAACTGTTAAATTCCAATAAATAACTAATTATATTTCATGTTAATTATAACTGACTAATGAATAACATAAAAAATTCTTTTATTTTTTCATTTAATTATTCTGATTAAGATCTTAATGTAGTCATTATAATAAATGACAATATAGAATTTAAATTTATTATCAAAATTGACATATTTCGTCTTAATTAATCACTAATTTTATAAGTATTTAATCATTTCTAATATCGTTTCAACTATAGTTCTATGATTATAGGTGTTTTAAACCAAAGTATGATAAATAACTTATTAATTATTATGATAATTTCAAGTGAAAGTAAATTCTCACATCTCATCCTTTTAAGATAATATTTTATTAACAGTTTAAAGTACTACTAACAATTAAAATTTTTTAATTAGGTTAGTTCAATGATCATATCTCTATATGCATAATTTATGTATGTGATTTAATTAATGAGACCAACTAATCTTTATTTTATAGAGACTATCGTGTATATATATATGTATTAATTTTATCAGATTATTAATGTCATATTTGATGATCCAACGACTAAGAATATTTTAAATTAAATATTAAATACTTTACTCTGATTATTAATATTTTCATCTTGATATAAAATCTCTAAATTTAATCAAATATTTTATCATATAAATTAAATAATAAGATAATTAGTACTGTCATATATTAAAATAAATTATTAAATAAAAATATATTCAATATATTACATGAATAATTAGATTTTGAGTTTAACAATCATATTCCTAACAGATCAGTAAAGAAGAATTGAGTTTAATTAGGGATGGATTTATGTTTCACTCTAAAATATTATGTACTTAATTTTTGTGATAGTAGATTTGATTCGGAATTTGACTTATCATTTTTATCTTAGATACTGGAAAGTTTTTCACGTAAATCTTGTGCATATTTATTTTTGCGGTTGCTTCTCTGTTTGCATTGGAATTGATTTATAGATTGATTGATTTAAATTATTAATTGATTATTTAAAAATTAATTTTGTGATTGGCTTAATTTGCACAAGTAAAATTAAATTTATTTTTGAAAGACCCAACAATATTTAAAATAAAATCTTAAGGTGTTCACAGAATTGCCAAAAGATTATTTTTTTTGTAAACTCAGTAAAATTATTTATAAACTTTGATTGTATAGAATGCCTGACAATTTTAAAGAAAATTTTACAAGTTATGAGTTTTTTTGACATCCTTACAAACTTGAAGAGATGTTAGCTCACATAACATAACCTCTTGACTTATAATATTAGAATTAATTATTAAAATTTTATACCGTAATATTTTGTTGGTATAAATTCACATAAAGAGATTGACTAATCAAATGCTCATAACATGTCTTAACTAGTGGAAAAAAAAAAAAAGGATGTTTTAGCGTAAACTAACACTGCTAAATCAATTTATGTCTTCGAATATGGTAGACCAACCCATTTTTATTTATTTGTTTTAAATAATTGAGATAATATCAACTCAAAAACATAATTATCATTCTAGATTATCAATTGTGTTAAAAACAATTAAACATTAAATATTAAGAATAATAATAATAATAATAATAATAATAATAATAATATTAATGTTTGATTATTCTAAACAAATCATAATAATGTTTGATTAGTTGTAGGTCACAATTATTTAAAAAGTCATTATCAGACTCATAAAACTTACCCCTCCATCTAATCAAAGCCTAATCAAAGTCTCAGCGTGAACCCATGTGGGACATCCAGTTAAACCCCTTATTGACTAAACTACCCTTTGCCTCCTAAAGGCTTACCTCTTAACTTATTGCAGGTTACTTTCGTAATTTTGCTTTCCTTTATCCCCTCTCATCAACGGAACGCGAAACGCCTCCGCTTTATTCGGCTGAATTAAAACCTCCCTCCATTGACTTACCAAATTGCCAACGGAGTGCGGGCAAATTTTCGAATAACGCTCTGTGAATTCGAGGTCATTCACGTAAATTCGCAGCTCGCAGTATCAGATACGTGACGTCTATTTTCAAAATATTTTTTAACGTTTAACAAAATACAAACGAATGAGAAACAGAACGGATGAAGAACAGATTCCCGATGACGTGGACTTCTCACCGACTGCCACGTTTTCAAATGATTTTTCAGAAATTACAAAAATTAAAATAACGTTTATTTTCTTTGGCCTTTTTCTAGAGTCGCGGTTTCTCGTCAAAAGCTACACTACTTTTTCCTTGTACAGCTTCACTGTTCTTTTTGGATGCTGAGAAGTGAAAAGAGCAGATATATATATATATATACATATATTACATAATGCGCGTATATATATATATATAAATAGCGGAGGAAAAGGAAAGCTTTTACCTACTCATTCATGATCAGCACTAAACACTCTCTGCTCTGCCAGTAAGTCTATGCTTCTCCTTTTATCATTTGCAAATGTTATTTTTATAACTAAAATTTTTGTTTGGAGCATGCAGATTAGTTTCTATGTTGTTTTAGTGGTAAATGATTTTGTGTATCTAAATTATGGGGTTATAATGAGAGATCTTTAATAGGAATGCTTGAAACCGTTTGCATGAACTGGGTTATATGAAATAGAATGGCGAACATGAATGAAATTTAGCTGATATTGTATATGAAGCTGAACTGATTCTTTTATGTATATGCTTTGTTTGAATTGTTTATTGGGATTGTGATCGATTAGAGGTTTAAGAGCTTTTGAGACTCTTCTCTACTGATCGGCCTAGATTTTCCTCTGCAATTTGGTTTTGAGATAACAAGAAAAGATGATGCCTTATATTTTCACTCTTTCTGCGGAGATGGATTTCTACAGTTGAATTTTCCTGATTCTTCTTTCGTATTTTCTATAACCTCTTCTAATAATGCAGGCTTATTGATGATGAAACTCGATATTTTAGTGGAGTTTCTGTTTCCACTGGGATTTTCCTCACTTTATATCTTCTCAACTGCTTGATTGAAAACTTTCCACTTGTTCTTGTGGTTCCATCATAAGATTTCGCCTCCTTGTATTTGAACCAGTTATCATAAATGTCTCTTTTACTTCCGTTTTCTGTTTTTTGACTTTTAGGTTCTTATGGTCTGGCACTAATCCTACTTAATGCAGAAACATCAGCAACAATCCCATCTTTTTAAAAGTAAAATTAGCTTTTATATTATGCTCTGTTCCCAGTAATTAATCGAAACACTTAGCTGTTTGAAATAAATGAATTTCATTTACGAAATCCACACTTATTAAAAAAGTATTTTCTCAATTCTATTAGGAATTGTGTGAGAGGTCAATTTCTATCAATTTGGAAAGATTTGCATTTTCTTATAGTTAAAAAATTGGTGTTGACTTTCAGCTGAATTTCACAAATCAAGTTCATTAGCCAAACATGGCCTCAAATTATTTATATTTCAATAAAGTGTGAGAGTTGCATTCACTAATTTTATGATCTGTAATTCTCCTGCCTTATTATGAAACGTGGTGTGCAAATCAAGTAAATTAGTTATGAGGAAAGATGATATTGTTATCTCCTTTACATTGTGAGTGGAATAATTACTGTTATGCTTGATGGGCTTGATGAATTTTGTCACTGTAATTGGCTTACATGCACTTTTTTTTTTTGTAAACTGGAGGTGGTTTTGCCTATCTTATATCCCTTCCCTGTAACATTGTAAATCTTTATTCACTATTTTCTGTTGCCCCCAAAAAAAGCTTTGGTAGTTCAGGTTACTTGCAAGTTGAAATGATTTATTGACTACCATTTAATACCTCTACAGATACGCAAATTAGTATAGAACCATATCTTGGAGCGATTTTAATCAGTTCAGTTTTTGACATTTATGAATTACCAAAATTCCTACTTTTATTAAAAATAACTATCACGATCATATTCTGTAAGTATCCATAAAAGTTTACTTAGTTACTTTGAACTCGTCCTACTTAAATAATATATAAGAAAATGTTCACTGTACCAAAGATGAATCTACGGGTTTAAACACTAAAAGAAAAAGCAACATAAG